GAAACGCGTTGTTTCGTAAAGATAGGTCAGTAAACTCTGTTCCCAGAAATACCATTAATATTCGACGGTACCATCTCTGATAAGTTCTTTTGAACAAAATCGCGACACGCTTCTGTCGTAGATTTTCCTCGGTCGGGATTCGAATTTCTCGGCGGGATGGAAATTTAATTCCGCAACCAGCTTTCGCTTAAGGAAAGACAGCGAAAGCTCGTCGACGTGGCTTCCACGAGGAATTAGAAACAGAACGAGCAGCTCGATTGAAACACTATCGATTTTTTTTCCTCTTTTACTTTTTCTTTGATTCACCGTTGAAACGGAAGACGAAACATCCCTGTTTCCCTCTCCAAGTATATCCTAATGCGACGTAGAAAGAACAAAGGGTTCCCGAGGGAATGTTCTCTTCGTAAGAAGCATGTGGACCAAATTGAAATTTTCTCGCATTATATTCTTAACGCGGAATTTAATTAAATCCCCTTCTAACACGATTCTGGTGTTTTGATGAAATGAAAATGTAATTTCAAGCTTTTGACTTCTCCAACAGAACAGGGACAAAGTTAGTTTGTACTTCTTTGAAGTTGACATGTTTTCGCGGTGTACGTTCTCACGGAGACTTATACAACCGGCGGAAGTATTCATTTTTGATAGGAGGGCAGGTATGGATAAATCTTGTTTCTTTCTTAGAATCGATTTAATTTATCAGAAAAAGTTGACGAATTCTAAGAAGATTCAGGTCTCGAGATGTTAGGCGGTCAAGCGATGCAAGCTTTCGCGTGTTACACGCGATAAAGCTACACTGGCGACGATAACGTGGAAATACCGTCGCTTTTGCTTTGCCAGTGTTGGACTACTGCTCGAATAGCTATACAAAGCGAAGAAGCTGTGACAGTGGACGAAACGCTTTTCTGCTTTCCCATCGACCGAGCTTTCTTCTTTCAAGCGTATTTCTCCGCGTTCCCGACCACGACCACCTTCGCTAACCCATTTTCGCATGGAATTCAAAAATGTGTTCCATCCTGTAACGCGAGGCAGCGACGGCACATTTAAAGCTTTTAATCTTTCTGGAACGCAAACGCGAAACACGCTTCTGTTTACCAAGCGAATCGAAGAACAGCTGTGCATATGCTGTTCCATATTTTACAAAGTAAATTAAAAAATAATTTTGCGAGATACGAAGTTGGCATTTTTCTCGTCCATCGAAGTTCTAGCTATTTTGTAGACGTAATCTCTATTAAAATGTCGTTCTTTCCGGTTGCGAACGGTTCTGTAACTCGAACGAGCCTAACCGGAGCCTACGTTTAACCCCGAAGTACTACGAGTACCTTCTTCTGCTCGTTTATCCAAGATTAGACGATCGCAGCCGGTAATGAGCTTTCGAGACTCCGAGACTAAACGCATTATTCGAGAACTCCTCGAGCCTCTCCACGCGTACTCTTTCCCTTTTACGAGGCTCCTTTTCAACCGTACACTGAACTTACGCAGACTTTTCTCTCTGTTTCGAATCAACTTGGTAATATCGTGAAACTCCTTGTCTTGCGATTCTATAGCTTCGAACTGTACACCGTAGAAGAATGCATTAGACGTAATTTTAGGTTGCCATCGAGGGAATCTATAGTTTCGTGGAACGACCACTGATAATAATTAAATATAGACGTCAGCGTTTGCTTAACAGTAACAGCTTCTAAAAAATGAATTGTCGTGACTTATCGGGTTAAGAGCGTAGGTATTGCATCAAGTAGAAACTGTAACGGGTTTCATGCCGCAGGCACAACCTTAATTAATCGTTTTAGATACGCGTTGCTGGAAATCTTGGTGGCGAATCATGGTATCGAGTCCAAGTATGACACACATTTTTCTTGGGAGTTTAATTTTTGAGTAAAATGGTGTGGAAAATCGAAATGAGAGTGGTGCATTAGACGGAAGCAAGGAGACGCGAAAAGAAAGAAACGAAACCACCTTCGTGTCTCCCTTAAAAGGAATGAGAGGAGAAAAGAAAGCAAAATGGTTGCGTGCGCGTGGATGTGGGTGTGTATGGGGTTAAAAGTAGAGACATTGTGCCGTTAAATATCACGTTGAGGAACGTGTTTCCATTGGGGATTTTCGGGGACAAAACGAAATCCGAGGCGAGATATACAGATATCGTAATGGTAGAGTCGAAAACACAGTAGTCGAGACACACCATAGGGAGCCAGGAGCATTGTTGTGCTTGTAAAAAGGGAAAAGAGACAGTCACGAGCAGACAACGCTCGCAACTTTCGATTAAATTGTCGTTTCTTCGCGAAGGGGTCAGCCGAACATTATAAATTTTTCCTTTTCGATTCCATTTCTTTCGCATATCCCACCATTTCGTCCAGTATCAGCTCGTTGCGTATCAAACGATCGATTATCAATTTCTTATAATAAATGTTTTCGCAGATTTTCTGCTCTCTCGATCAACATTTCTTATGTAATCGAAAATGTCGCCAAGAAACACAAACGTGCAACGTCCTTGGTGGATCTAATATATATAGTACCTACGGAAAATACGAGGAAAAATGCGCTTAATGAAAATTAAGGTAATCGCGTGGCTGATCCAACATCGATGCGTCAGCTGTTATACGGCAACAGGTGGTCCTTTGTCGAAATGGATGAAAAAAGGGGTATCCTTTTTTTAACGACTTTCTACTCGGTTCTGGATCGAAACTCGGAAAATTTAGGACGACTTTTCGCTTTTCACTTTGAAAAAAAAAAAAACCTAAAAGGATATCCCAGAAATTTATTAATATTTCTAACAAGAACGAAATAATTATACTTTCAACAGTTTCTAAGTCGATAAAACTACTTATTGCGGTTGTACCCAAATGTTTTGGAGCGCGTATCGATTGAAGAATAAAAATCTTTGACCATAAGAACGATAAGAAGGATATCTTGGATGTTTTATGCGAGCAGCGTGTCAGTTGTGTTGGCCAGCAGCACAGAAACACGTCTATTTGCGTGCCCCGTCACGTTAGAATTCGCGGACGTTACAAAATGCAGCGCTGACTACGCGTACGGAATGCCAGCAAGCGAATTTCAAGCAGATTCTTTCCTTTCCTTTTCTTTTCTTTTCTTCTAGAATGACGTCCAAGTTTTTCGCCCCTGTTCGAGGAGAAGGACTCGTCCTTCGCCTGGAACGTTTTCCTCGACGGTCAAGTAGCAGACTCTTCGGTTAACCGACGAAGGAAGAAATTTCAAAGGTATTTCCTTCCTTCGGTATCAAGAAAAGAATTACTATGAAAACGGAGTGACGTTTATTCGTCAGACTCGAATATATGTTCGTCGAGATAGCAATAATAACGGAAGAGTTTCGAGACGAAACGGAAAGACCGGAAAGGGAGTTAACCCGATTAAGTTGGAATAATTAGGATTTTGCCGTGTCTCTCGGTAAATCGAATCCTCGCGTTAACAGGAGGGAAAGTTGCGTTTCGGAGGCGCGATTCCGCGCGGAAAGGAAGATTCGATTCGTGTGCTCGATCACGTGAAAATCAGAACGCCGAGAACGCGTAACCCTGTGTGCAAGGTAGACGCAGCAGAATCGTGTAATCGATAGATAACTTTCTGCTTTGGCCCGGCTTCTGGTTTCGTCGGCAGACGGTGAAGGCAGAATAATAGCTATTCGTCACGAACCGGTGCAAGCCTCCGAGAGAAACGACCGCACGGTTGTACTGAATTAATCTTATGCAAAACATTCGAAACCGAATTCTACAACATTATCCTTTTCTATCCTTGACATTGCGTTTCGAGTTCGCCCCGTAGGGAAACATTCTGCATCGCGATTCGATGACATAAAAGTGTCGCAAATTGCCACTTATGACATATCAATTCGAAGCTTATAGTTTCACGAAAATGGCTACGTAAACGATTTATCGATATTTCTTCAGTTATTGCCAATGATCAGATTTCGTTACGTGCCAACCATTCGAACGTAACCGAGTAACGAACCATGCTCAATTAACTTTTTTCATCCTTTTTCGTTGTAGGTAAGAAATTACCGGAAGTTCTTAGAACTTGAATCAAAGCTTGACTAATGAAATCCTTAACGAAGAACTTGACTTCTTTTTACGGTTGTTATGCTTGAAATTCATGAAATATGACATTGATCAATGAACGTTCATTACGTCTGTTTTCCTTTTTCATTTTCTTTTTATTTTTATCAAAGCTTTTGCTTCGTTCGAACGGCCTTCGATTACCCCGGCTCGATAGAATGTCCGAGATAAATGTTTTTCTCCTTCTGAAAGACGAAATGCTTTACGACTGTTGTAGAACGAGGTTGCGAAGAAGAGAAGGATGCGGACAGAGGAGCCGTTATTCTTTTCGAATAAAAGACTAACTTTCCAAGCGAGAGGATCGATCTCGTTCGGATGGTATCGAGATTCGACCTCGATAGACGTACTTACGTCCTCTCCTCGTATCATGGATGAAACAAAATGCATCGTACATGCTTCCGGTGTAACGTTACGTTGAATTTCTTTCCTCGGACTTCCGCTCGGTCTGTACGGAAAAAGAACGGAAAATTGATTGGAACAATGCTATTCACTTCGGTTCATTTCACGACAAAGAAATTGCGAAACGTGTTTTCTCAGTTGGTTCGTCGGAAAAATGAATTCTTCTTAGTAGAACGTTCGCGTCAACGCTGCTTAATTAGGTCAGGAATCGTTAAAATTTCATTGATTCGTCATGGTAGCATAAAAAAAAAAAAAAAAACAGGAGGGTAATAAAAGTTTTCCAACGAAACGTTATCGTATTTTGAAATTCACCGACGAGCTAGTCCATACGGAATTCATGAATTCCTAAGAGAATCTTCTGAAAGTTTTACAACGGATCGTTTTTATCGGTTTCTTCGAGTAGCAGTATCTTGAGAAAAAAAGATAGAGAAACGACGGTTTAAAGCTAAGGAGAACGTTTCTCACTGATCGAAGCTGTTAACCCGTTGCCTGCCTCGCGTACCAACTTTTCTTTAACTGATTTTTCTTTTTCTATTGCAGATGATAGCGGTACAAGAAACGTCGGCGTTCGGTTGGTAGTGACGTCTGTCCTGAAGACTGGCTGGTCGGGGAAGAAGACTCGGTATAATACACTTCGAAGAAGTCGCGCGAAAAGCTAGAAGAGAAGAGACAGAGACTGGCGGTGATAAAGCGGAAGAAAGAGAGGAAGAAAGTAGGCAGCGGGAAGGGTAAGGGTAGCAAGGGTAGTAAGAGTAAAGGGAAAGGAAAAGGAAAAGGAAGGAAGAAAAGAAAGGAGGACGCGGCGAGATAAAGGAGGCTGGTCTCGTGGAAGGGCATCTTCCGTTAATTCAGGATCGAACCTTGGGGGTTGCGAAGGTCGCTGATGTCCGCTACGAGCCCTGCCCCTACCCCTGCCAGCTCACCGTCACCGGAACATACCGGAACCGGAGGAAGTATAGCCTCGCTCGTTACCCTACGCCTCGATCGAACAAGAAGAAGAAGACGGAATATTTTTTACCAGTCTAACCGACCATCACGCGTACTCTCGTTCGGAACTTCAGTACCATTGCTGCTGCTGTACCGCCGATCAGCTTGACCACCCCTCTGAATGTCTTCACACATCCAAAAGTCGTGCGTGGTGAGGACACAGGTTCATTTCTTTATATCTTTCATCATTTTTCTCCCTTCTTCCTTCTCCGACCTTATATCTTCTATTAAATATTACAGCTACTCCGATCAGAGTTTTATCGAACGCGAATTGACAATCGAATCTTCAGCGACGTTCGAACACGGTATTACCTCTTTGAGTGGCAGAAAAATTTTGTCTTTCTCCTCGCTGTCGGGTGAGAGTTGGTAACTCTCACTGTAATTTATCATTTTCGTATTTTAAGGAGACAGAAGCGAGCGAGCGTGTGACGGACAACAAGCGTGAAATCTTGAAAAGAGTATGCGATGTTTGATCAGGCAGAGCCAGTGTTTCTCGAGAAGCGGTCTGGGTCCTTATCCCAGTAGGAGAAACGAGGTCGATGGAAGATGGTCGTTGTTTCTGTATAATGACCTTTACTTAGAAAGCATTTTCTCCGAGCTACTTTTCATTTCGTTTTTGGAAAACCTATTGCGAAGATGGATCCTTAGGTAGAGAGTAGGATTAAATTCCAGAAACTCAATGTCATGCCAGTTAAAGAGGTAATACTACGATACGTATGTAGATCGTATTTAGAATATTTTCTTTTAACTCGAACTCTGTTTACTGCTTGTGGAAAAGTCAAGAAAAGAATGAATAGGTGGAAGCTCGGATAAACGTTTAAAAATCGAGGAGAGACAGCAGCGAGCATTGCCGCACGATCCCATGGAATTCGATTTAATATCAGAAGGAAATTGACAGAATTTCGCAAAAGGTTGCTGACGCGTCGTACAGAGTCGCATTATTGAAATGTTGGAATGTTAAAGTTTATATTGGAAATCGCATCGAATTTCGGCCTTTGGTTCTGTCAGCTTTCGATACAGATACGATCGTGACTATTCGTTCGATTCGTAAATAGAAAAAACAAAGAAGAAAATTGGAAAGCTGTATAACAAAGAATTAATAGGAAGAAATATTTTTACAATTTTATACAAAATCGTCTTTCTGAGCTCCCGAGTACAAAGAACGCGTACTTAACTTTCAGTCTATGGCAATATCACGAAACAAATGAAATGATTTAATTTAGATGAAAAAATGAAAGCAGCGAAATTTGATATCACGCTCAGCAGGTGTAAAATTAGGGGTGAGATTCGCTAAGGGATGGAAACTCGAGGAAATAAAAAAGCGAAAGGGTCGAGAGAAAGAAGAAAGAGGGAGATTTCTGTACGACGCGACGGGGGTTGCTCGAGAAGCGGAGCATGGAAGTTGCAAATGGGGAAAGTTACAGAAAAGTAAGATCGGGGAGAGTTTTCTGTAAGTAACCGATGCGATGGTCGAATTCGCGAGGGATGCTTTCGAAATGAACTCTTTTTAGCGATTGAAAGTTTGTCTGGATTTTTGAAATATTCTAGCTCTAACCTTCCGCTCTAGCTCTTTCCCTTATTTCATGAAGAAGATAAAACACAAACCACCCTCCGATACTCACGGTGTTTTACCGTTGCAGATTTAAATGGCTGATTGTGAGCGATTGATGCTTTGTTTATATAAGGTAATATTTTTTATATTATTGATTATTTTTTTTTTCTTTTTGTTTGTTTTTGTTTTTCCTTTCCTTTAAGTCATTTGAAATATGATGGGAATGGAAAATATCCTCTCGTATAATCTCTTTCGTTACAAGGCGATACATTTTCAGCTGAAACAGAGATGGAACTTTGTAGATTGTCGAGTTTCTTCCATGCACTCGTGATCTCAACATTTATTACACTCTGAAGTCATTCATTTCGTGACCTACATATGAAAATTCCGATGGGTTTACTCCTTCCCGGATTTGATAGCGAACAGATTGAATTCGATAAACGAAACTACTCTATATTCATCGTGCTTCTCCTCAAAATTTCCTTCGATTCGCTCGAATTTTGATTAGCTGATTTAACCTTTTGCGTTATAACAAGAATTTCGTTGGATAGTTTTCACATACAGTGTACGGAGAACGTCTCGCCTTGTTTATCCGATATTTGCGGTTTTCCAGGGGAATATACTGTTTTTCTCTTGTTCGAGAGCCGCCTCTCGACGATACCCTATCGCTTTTCAATGAATGAGATTCCATTCGCCGTAATTAACAGTTATCCGTTACATCATTACTGAAAGTAATTTCTCTGATACTCGATACGTTCGTCTTGAAAACGATATCGTCGAATAAGCCGTTGAAAACAGTGATTTCGTCCAACTCGCAAACTAATTGTAAGTCACCTCTAATTAATTGTACAACTTTCGCTAAACTTGGTCGAGTCTGACGAAGCTAGGATTAGATAGAGAAGGTAAAGGTGTATTTCTTTTCTCCTCTCGATATTGTGTTCAGCGGGTATCGAACCAATTTTCCAAAGTTTTCTCGATGGTAGATCTGGTCCGAGTGTTCGAAGAAACGATTTTCCACGTTTCCTTTTCCTGGTTAAATTCCCGTCGTTTCGAAGACGGAAATACGATGCCCGATGCTTCTGTCACGATATCGTTTTATCTCGGCAGAGAATCGTTATTTATTCCCGAGGATCAAATAGAGAAGAGAGAGAAAGAGGAGGCTTTGTCGAGTCTCGGACGCTGTTTCAAAGGGTTAATTAGTCGAATACCGTTCCATCCTCCTTCTGCTCCTCCGATTCTTCCACTACCATCAGGAATAAGTCATCGAACGTTGCGGGTGTTTTATTTGTATTTTAATCGATCGCTGATTTATCGAGTTGCAGGGGCTTGAAGCGACATTGAGTGACAGCAAAAAGAAGTACGGCGACAAGGTGAATGCACTTCTGTCCGCCTGGGAGCATGTCACCAATTTCATTCCTGGGGCAACGCCAGAGGCCACCCAGTCTCTCATAGAATGGGCTCACAAGTGAGTATTCGCGTCGATCCTCCTATCCTCCTATATTCGTCGAAACCGTAGCAATTATCCATCCTCGCGATTCCTCCTCTCCTTCCTTTCCTTTCCTTTCTCGTTATTCTTCGCCTCTAAAACTAACGATGTTGCGCGCAGACACTGTTTCGTTTCTTCTCTGTCTTCTTTCTTCCGTTGCATCGCGATGAAAAAAGAAAAAAAAAATACTTGCCGTGTCTGAAATATTATGACTGTTCCTGGTTCGCTCTTTGTCGTAACAAATTTTCAACTACAACTTTGACGATATATTTGTGTTGCAGACACACGTTGAAACTGGTACTGCGCGGGGAGTGGCCAAAGTTGTCACCCGCGACGAAGACGCACCTCAGTGTAACGTTACAGAGGTGCGCCTCTCACCTGGTGCAACACCCCGCTGCACCCAGGTGTACTGCCCTGATAGCTCTGGTGCACAATCCATGGACTCATCCCGCTCTCGACAGCATACTTAACGGCCAACCGGATTCCGAACATGAAGAGGGTACTATGCCGCACAAATTTATTTCCCCTACCTGACTTGCTAACCCCCTCAGCGATCGGAAGTCCAACTATTCGTTTGAATATGTACACCATCTGACGTGAGGTCTAATTATCCCAGTATCTAAGATATAGAACTGTTAGGAACTGGTAGCCTTGCTGATGAGTCCATTAGGGAGCACAAGACGTAGCGCGCCTTATCCTCCTTCCTTCCTTCCTTCCTTCCTTACTTTCCTTCTCTCCTCTGTTTAATCATCGTTGTAAGCTAATGAGACATGGATAACACGGATCAAAGAATTTTAGTTGAGCATCTGAAAGAACCGTTAATTTACGATTTATCATAATTTCTCGGTCACCTGTAGATTCGAAGAAGGAATATCCTGACTTCTGTTCGCAAAGGGTTAATGAAATGTATACTAATTGTGTTTGTGTTTTTGATCGACAGAATTCTGTTGTTCGGAGAAAGGTGAACTGCTGACAATGAGGCTGAAAATACTTTGCGAGGACCGCTGCGAGGATATAGCGGTAAACCTCGCCGCTGCCTGCGTACGTTCTCTCCGAAGGAGCGATCGGTTGCGTTCGCTCTCGGATTCTCATCACGTTCATTACATGATCGACGTCTATATTGTCCTCTTGTATAAATTGAAACGCACGCAAGATATATTCGCTCAAGTGAGTGTCACTTACGAATAAGAAATTAAACCAATTCGTTTCCTTTTTGTCGGCGACGACAGGCCGCGATGGACAGTGGCGAAATTATCAAGCATAGGAACGAATTTTTCATTGTATTATGGTGAAAAAACATATTTTTTCAGTTAAAATTAATGGATCTCAGCGACGGATTGGAGCTGGTCCAAAGACTCAGTGGTGAAAGACCGACAAAGTATGGGACTGCACGGGTTTGGAGAAATTCGATAAAAGCTGCTGAATTGGTTGCACAATATCTCGTTACGGCTGGTATGGTACGACCTGTGCCAGAAACGGGCGCGAATATTTTGGAACAAATTCTAAACTCTTGGGCATTGTTGCATTCAAAGTTGAAAGATGTTGCGCCCACGTTGCCGGGAATGATAAGAAAATTGATCGAACCTGCCGAAAGTGCTCAGCACATTTATATATTTTGTGCAGTACTTGCAAAACACGTGAGCATCATTTATACATGAAATAATTACACTTGACATACAATACTATTAGGTTGTTACAAATGAAATTGTATTCTCAATGTTTTTCAAATAATATTCCATTGATCAAACTGTGTTTTAGAAAAATATTCATATGAAACAGCTTAATAATTCATTGAAATTTTCATCTACACTTATCTGAGAGAATAAACGGAACGTTCACAGGCTTGTTTGTTTTCAATTACAGTTTGGCGACAGTATAAAGCCTCTGGTGATCGAACTGTACATCAGGGCGTTAACAACGGATATGAACGAGTTGGAGAGCCAGAAGACAAAATCCGACACGGAGAAGGTTCGCGAAACCGCGAAGCGTTTGAGCACACAGTTTCTTAAACTAGCCGACGTGGTTGGTAGTAACATCGGTATAGCTCGTGAATGCGTTCTCACGGCATTCTCGTTGCATCCTACGAGAGCTTGTTACGACAGGATCAAGGAAATCGCTGTAGCCTGTGGAAAGACGAAAGAAGACGGGGCTTCGAACGGAAGCGACGCTGTGAGCGAAAAATTGAAACACGTGTTGGAGAACAATCATTCTACCGCGGGGTTTAAAAAACCGGACAGCAATATCAGTGAAAAGAACGAAGGAATCAAAGCCACAAACGTTGAATCACCTTCCTCTTTGTGTGGCTCCTCGTTACTCGCAGTTACGTCGTTGAACAATTCATCGCCAGTTGTGTCCAAGAAAAACATTGATTTTCAAAATGGACAAGTGAGTAAGAGTTTTGAGCGAACGGATCAATTGCTGAAAAGTCTTTTAACCACCTCGAAAAAAGCAGATTCCACGATTTCGGGTAACGACAGATGTCCTCTGCATCCAAAGAGAGACCCACTGTCCAACGAAACGTTGGGCGAGCTTTGTTTCAATTGCGGCGAATTTACCGGCAACGATATATCGAAAAGTAAAGCACCGGAATCGAACGAAACGACGTCTAAAAACGTGGAGAGAACACTGGACGCTTTGATTCTGATCAAAGGGGACGCTGTCACGGGTTCTGCGAACTACGACGAGAAGTCGGTGCCTAATCAAGTTCTCGACGCGGAGAAACTCGGTCTCTCTCCACAGCTTTGCGACGATTTGGCCGTTGTTTTAAGCAGTCCTCGTTATCACATGCTTAGCTGGGTTCTAGATTGGAAAGAATTGAACAGTCTATGCGAAAGATATTTGGAGAATGCAGAAGAGATGAGGAATACCAATAAAGAGTTGAAATATCTGAACATTGATTATTCGCAGTTTAAGGATTGGCCTTCCGAAGACGACACTAAGGATATCTTCTTTGGGATTGAAAAAGGGTACGAACAATGGGTTGATTTACCTTCGGATAATTCGGAGCAGTTCGGTAGCTTTCAGCCTGCGAGTAGTTACAAGAGGGCTACCGCCAGAAGAAGTCTCGACGATACCACCACTGATTCGGATAGCGGTAGTATCCTGCGTATCAGAAGGTCGGGGAAACAGAGGAAGATTCATAGATTAGAGTCTTCTGAAAGCGAGTACGACAGCATAGAACGTAAACCGAAACATTTTAGGAACAGAGTCAGCTCGGTTTCGGATAGCGATAGCAACACGCAGGATAGTCAAGCGGACAGTCTCGGCAGCGGTGGTTATCGGTTGGAAGTGAAGAAGAAGCCGAGCAAATTGTCCAATAAAGAGACGAGCAAAAAACGTTCGAAGGCTTCGAAATTGACTGCCGAGTCGGTGTCGCATTTTCATATGCTCATTAATGAAAACGTTAGACACGGGAACACGAACGAAGACGCGAGCGGTTCTGATGTAAGCAGCAACGATATTATTACTTTGTTCTCAGCCGATATGGACGAGAATAAACGAGAGACGATAAAAGGTTCGGCTTACACGGCAGCTGCTCCTCTGATAATCACAGAGAGAAGAAGCGATCCGGCTGTACTTAAATCCTTGAGAATGTTCAGGCCACAAAACTCGAAGAAACCCACCAGGATCTCTCAGATATTACAAAAGAATCTTTTGAACAAGAGTAAGGACAATAATAACTTAGAAAATAATGCAAACAGCGTGGCAAAGTTTGCACCGATGCTCAGCACTTTGAACTTGAATCCAAAGATCGTGCTGACTAGAGCGGACGAAGTCGACAGGAAGTTGATTCGAGCGAAGAAGCAGCAACGATTGAGTAGCGGTGATATTACCAGCGAGCTGATGAACATTCAGAAAAATATGCCATTCTCTCCGAACAAGAACGCGATATCAACGTATCAGAAGCAAAAAGGAAACGGAGGTACCATCACTGGCAAGACGGATCTATCTTCCACCGATAGGCGAGACTTGAATTCTAAATCGAATTTAGGGAAACGAAAATTTGACATTCTCGCGAAAGCTGTTAGAGATTCGGATATATTAGCGAAGAATGTGCCAGGCTTAAATTCGTTGGACATGATGGTACCGCCAAGGATGCGCCCTACCGTAAACGTTGTCCAGCTCTCTAGAAACATTCCACAAAGTCCGAATTCGGGCTCCGTTAACAGCGGGAACACGCCTCCAAGGCCAAATAGAACTCCTAGCGTTGCTGGAAATATTCAGTTACCCGGCACACCCTCTTCCGGTGGGCATGACAGCGGCGTTGGCATGAGCCCGGCCGGTCAGACCCCTCCTTCCAGATCATCGACTCTTCCAGACGTCGGCGAAGAGGCGAATCAACCACCGGATAGCTCGCCAACTTCCTCGACCACCACTAACGTTTCTAATCAGCTCGAACCGGACTCGAGTCCCAGAACGGTACCGATTCGTCGAAATCAGCCGAACCAGTCGCCTAAAAAATCTCCTTCCCCTTGCTCCGCCGTCACAACCACCACAACTACAAGCACCGGAATCTCTTCGACGGCCATCAACTCGGAACAATTGCAAATCGTTTGCAAACCGGACGGTACTTACCAGTTGGCCTCTGTAAATCCAAACATCGTATCCAATCAGAGGAATATTCTTAATTTGCAAAATGTCGATGATGGGAATATCGGTACGTTTTCTCGACAAACGCAAAGAACAACGGAAAACACGAACGCGAACAGAACCACGTACGACAGGTTGACTTCCTCGTCCACTAAAGTCAGTCCGCAAACTGGTCAGAACACCGGCCTACCAAAGTTTCAGCAAGCTTTTGGTAAAACTATATACACCCTTTCAACGGATACTTCAACGAGCGGCGCATCAGAAACGCTAGTTCAATCAGTGTCGCCGCAGAAAACGTCAAACTTGTCCAAGGCGGTACAAACGTCCGTGCCTAATTCGCAACAAACAAACCCATCTCCGGGAATTAACGTACAATCCATCGCAAACATTCCGAATACGTTGCAATTATCCACTAGCAGACAAATATTGAATATCGTTCAGAATTCTGGAAACAACACGAACGTGGCAACCAGTCCGAACGCTAATCAAACGTTGACGCAGCTGGTGCAAAGCGTTCAGAATGCTTCACCTGGTGTGATTTACACGCACAAAATCCCTGTTACGATATCCACCACGAATCCAAGTCAATTGAACATCATACCAACCATTTCGCATGCGAATTCCATACCAACTGGAAGAACGCCGGTAGTCAAATTGAACATCATTCGTGCTCCTTTGAGACAGCAGAACATTACTGGGGCTATTCAGGCGGTTTTAACTACTCCCAGATTACAGCAGCAGCAGCAACAACAACAACCACCACCACCACAACAACAGCAACAACAGCAGCAGCAGCAGCAACAACAACCATCCGTTAGAACAGACAGTTTACTCGGTTCCCCTATTGAAGTGCCCAATCAAGTTAGCTCGACCACTTTGGAACAGTTAAGGGAATTTGAAAGCGTTCTGGAACAAGTGAAAGAAAGAAGCACCATTCAGCCACAGTCCCATCAAATGATATCCACAGCGGCCACGACTACCGTGCAAACGCAAACCACCACTCAGCAAACCCAAGCCAGCAAGCAACAACAGGTTTCCGTGAGCGCATTAGCTCAACAACTTCTAATGCCTACACAGCAAACCACTGGCAATGATTTTGCGAGTAACGGGAACACAGTGAACTTCCAACAGGATGTATTCTCTCAAAAAGTTTCGTTGGCTTACGCGAATCAGAACACAGGAGCCACAGCCGCCGTTGCCGCTGCCGCTGCTGCTGCTGCTGCTGCTGCTCCTAAAACTCCAAATTCAACGCCTGTCGTCGTGGTGACGAGTTATTGTCAGCCTGCGGCTTCACCCGCTCTGAGCGTCACCTCGCAAAGCTCTTCCAGCCCCTGTGTTACCCCAGCACCAGCGCCTATATCTGGCAAAACACCGCCCACTCCACCGTCCTCGAAGACGGTGAAAAAGTCGGCGCCGAAAACCGTGAAGACTAGCGCGACCAACACGTCAAAGGCCTCACCGATTCCGAAACCGCAACAAAAGCCCCAAGAGGACGAGCAAACTGCTCAAAGAATCTACGCTATCTTGGACGAGTACGCGGAACAGCTTCGAAATTCACCAGATCTTAACAACAAACCCGCTCCAAGGAGAAGATCCAATCCACCGACGAATCCTAGTCAATCATCGAAAAGGAAAAAGTCAAATGCCAACAAAACGAAACCTGTTGGACAGCAAAATTCGGAACTTAGTCCGAGTACGGATGATCTTGGGAGGACTATGGGTAGCGAAGACTCGTCCAGTGGCGTGGTACACGTGCAAGATAGTCCAGCAGGCTTTTCGGCTCCGGAGGAACCTACGAATAGCGTTGGAAACGTGACGGATGCGTCTGCCGAGGTTCGAAATTTGACCAACGACTCGAACGATGGTGTTGAATTGAACGTTAAAAGGAGAAATCTAATCTTCGCGGAACCTGGTTCGGGTCAGCCTAGAGCTGTGATCGTTCAGGAAGCTGTGCAGACTAGTTCCGTTAGCGTTAGCGAAGCTCTGGCCTCTGTCACGGGTAAGATGGGAAGCACTGCTGTCCTTGTTCCAGGTACTAACTACATCTTACCGATGAACCTTATGAAAGGAGGTCAACAGTTCACAATAGTGTCCAGTGGATCGAAGCTTCTGGCCACTGTACCAGCTACCGTTCGAACAACCGGGAACACTGGAGTTTCCAATACTCTGGTACTCCAATCGTTTCTGAATCAAGCCGGAAAGATCATCTCGCAACCGGCACAGGTGAAGCAGGTTAAGATACCCACTTTGCAAACATTATCGGGCAATCAAACTCTGGCTACCACTCAAAATGTACAAAACGCCTCGGTAGTGATCCCGCAGCCTGGAAATGGCGGCCAGTTTGCAGGAGACACAACCGTAGAGAAGAATAACATTATCGGTGACTTGACCATGGCGAAATCGGATCCTGTAAGTGGTACAGTTAGCGTCGAATCGACGACAAACGCTATCGTCGTGAACAAAAGCAATTCTACGATCGGTTTAATTCAACGTAATCTAAACGAGCCTGCGGAGAATCAACAGATATGCGGCGTGATCACGAGCAATCCGAACTTGGCTCTTCAGGGCACCCGATTATTCAATTCTTCTATACACAAATTGTCAACACCGACTCTGAAATCGGACAACGTGGTGTGTCTGGCACCCGCGGCAACGATCACGCATACAGCTGAGAAAAAGTCACCTCAAGAAAGTCAGTGTCACAACGAGAAGCCAGTTTCCATTCAGACTGGTGCTACGATCGCTCTTGCATTCACCACTCAGTCAGACGTGTCTATGCTGAACGATCCTCAGCAGCAACACCAACAGCAACAACAGCAGAAAGATACGAAGGAGGTATCCACGGAATTGATTCCTGGTGCTAAGATCATCTCCCCGAAGACGGTGAAAAGAAAAATCGACGACACTATGGGTATGTCGGAGAACGTTCCGAAAACCTTGATCACTTCCAACTCTGTCGTTTGTTCGAGCAATACCACGACATTACAGAATAACAGAAAAATTGGTTAGTGTCTTTGCCAAACGTATTTCAAAGTAATTGGAATTGTTAGAAAAGCGGTACAAAGTGTCTCTAGAAATGTGTGCCTGTTCATTTTCTATGGATTCTTATAAACAGTTTTCCACTAAAACCAAATACCAAAGTTGATGTTGATTTTCTTATAGCACATTTTTAAAGACACCCTGTATACATGCACCATTGTCGGAAGAATTTCGACTCGTGTCACTGCCAAAAAAATTCTTGTACAATCTTGTAAGGTAATTTTAACAGTTGGCCATAATCGTGTCACGATAACCCTGGCTCAAGGGGACATATGAAATAATATCGAGCGTATGTTTCTGTTTGCAGATTCTATGTCTACGATAACGGTCGCAAGCAAACAGTCAACAGGAGGAATCGATAACGCGACACAGTTTCTGGTGACCGGTGGTCCGAGTAGTTCCGACAGTCAGGAGTCACCTGTACAACAGTCTACCGAGGGTATCGACGTATCGTGCAAAGTTGGGAACGGTTTGCTGTATGGAAACGCTAGATTACAAGAAGCCTGGGAACCCGAAGGCAAAGTATCGCCGGATACACCCTGGCGATACGTGCCAACCTCCACCAACTCCTTGAACATCGAACCTTTGAATTCAAGATATTCGGACAATTCGGACAATGTTCAAAGCGTTCTCCAAATCATCAACAAAGGTCAAGGTATCGAGATGGCGAGCGGGCAAATCTATCAGACAAACACGAAAAAGTATTTCATGAATCACACTTTAGAACCATTCCAACAGTACTCGAATAAGAGTAACGCTATGAAAACACAATTGAACCCTAGATTGGATCGGGAATTATTACAGCAGAAAATGGAGAGGAAAGCGGCAGCGATCGAGCGCGAGATGAGGCTGCAGAAAAGTCTATCCGAGGAATGCGAAGATTTAGGCGTTGACGAGCCAAGTACCAGTGATTTGTTCCCCGAGGCGGATCTACTGTTCGACACGAATCACTCGCCGTCCTTCGATCATTCTTCCCAGGATGCCTCCTGCAGTCAACCTCTAGGGATGAAATCGTACGGTAGTTCGTATTTTCGTTCTCTGGACTCGTCGAGCGGTAGCAGGGATGCCAGTCCAGTAGCCGATTTCAAAGCAAACGAGCGTAAAAAGAACAGCAACCAACGGACGAGAAATTCGAAAGACTGCTCGTCGAAGAGGTCGAAAAGAGACAAAGCGGAAGAATTGCACTTGGAGAATCCGGCTAAACACATGCGTTTAACCCTGGATAATTTAAGTCAGGACGAGGCGTCGAACAGTACTTCCGACATCTCGAGGCTCTCGCCGACTAATCTAGGATCATTGGAGAGCGACTCGTTGAAGGACAATAGCAGAGTGAAGATGATCTCGAGGAATGGTTCGAAGGAAGGTTCACCTAGTAGCGTGTCTAGCATTCCATCTAACATGAAATTAGATATTGATCTAGATTCGGAATCGTTACCTCCTAGCATCAACGTGAATAACGCGTCAGCTGCTAGCTCGGGGGACGAAAGTTTAACCCTGCTGAGTGGCACTACCGCCGATGTAACCATACCATCTCCACTCTCGCCGATCGCTGGCCCGATGCTCTCGACGCACAAGTATACCTACACCAACAAGAAACGCATCGCATCGAAGGTAACGAGAATGGATTATCTCGCCTGGGAGAGTCCGATGTCCGAGAGGACGAGATCGAGCAGCGACGAAGAAGATTCGAGCGTTAGCGAGTCGATAGGTAGTCAACCGGAGGAGAACGCTTTGAGCAACGGTCTCGAGGACAGTGTGCAAAGTCTAAAATCGTTGTCGAGCGAACGACGTTGTAGCAGTTACTTCAAGAAAAAGGACAAGCTACAGGTGAACGCGAGGGTAGTGTTGAATCGAACAGATCACAAGGCTAGTAGTCTGTCGAAACGTATAAAAGCGAACGAAACGATCCAGGATTCGGTGATGGTATCCAGTGATAAGGCTTCGGAACCTTCGGACGACGAGACGGGAAATATAGCTTTGGTAGAGCCTGACTGTCGCGCCAGACGATCCAGTTTGCGAGGACACGTTAAAAAAGGTTGCGCCTGTTGCAATGGATCTCCGGAAAGACCGAAGAAGAAATCGGTCAAGGCGGATCATTCGAGATTAAAGAAACGGCTATCGTCGAAACAGGCTGGAAAGAAAAGGTAGTCCTAGCGTTCCAACGCTCGTCGACGGAGCATTGCGTATTTGATCGTAAACAGGAAGATGACAAGGAAGAAGAGAAAGAGGAATAGGAAAAGGAGTTTCTATACGCTTGGACGTGTTCTTGTAGTTTCCACCGAAGCGAAGATAAAGCTAGAACTAGACCAGTGGATAACGCATCGATGCAGTCGATTTTACATGAAATATTTTGCTTGGATCGAACGATTATTAATCCATGATAATTACAAGCATATTGTACATATAGTAGCAAATACACGGGAATTTCTAAAGACGCTCGTGATTTCCCGTTACTTGGCGCATGCCTATCCTCGTCTATAGGCAAAACGAGCGTAAGTTAACGTTAAATTCAGTTTTGTCGATGAGCAAAGAAGAAACGAACAGTTAGCGTTTCTTCGAGGAGAATAGATTATCCTTTTACCACTAGATGTTACTACGATATTAGATATAAGAAACGCAGATTATTATTGAATGGCAGACTTAGATTAAATCGTTAAGATTATTAGAGACGCAATCTAGTCAGAAGATAAGGTTTGTGACGAGGTTTGTAGGCGTGTTCGTGAAAGGCTGATAGAAGAAGAACGAATGAAATCGTATGAATGAAAAAGTGATGCTGAGAGGATCGAACATGTGTAATAAACGAAGAAACGTATCCAATTATCGATAGAATCCCCCTCGCAGACTAAAGAATTTATAAATGATGAATAAGAAAAATAAGAAAGCCTGAAATTCATAATTCTGTCTACTTGTATGTATGTATATTGTCGTGGTGATCCTGTTCCACGTTTCTTACACGGTGTGGTCAGACTGAGGAGTAGACGAATAATATTATTCTATTAGAGATCTTGTTTGGTGAAAATTAACGGTAGCAAAATCATGCATTGAACTTTTGCCTTTTTCGCGTAAACGCTTCTCGGTAACTTTAGAAATTTTAACTTTGTAATCGATACACATACTTGATCCTTGTTCAATTGTGTAGTATGCAAGGAGCAGTGAAGAAAGGTCGGGAAGAAAAATCGAGGAAAACCAAATAAAAGCGACGAAATTAGAAATGATATCGAGAAGAGAGAAAATACGAGGAAATATGTATAGTATATTGTATATGCTAACAGAAAAACTTGAGTGTCGTACGAGCCGACCATACCTTGTCACGGTGCATGTAAAGAAAGGGAAATAAGAAAAGTAAAAATCAAGAATTACCCAAAAACCTGTACATTACGTAGATAATTCATTAAAAGTATAACATTATATCGCTGCACTTTAGTACAAAATCGCTTCACCTTGTTTCAGAATGACAAGTTTATATCATCATTCGGTGTGCTATCGTGGACGCGTGAATGCCTGCAATCTATTATTCTAAACTGTAAAACGTAAAAAAAGGAACACTCTTGTAAAGGTTGTGTAATTAAGGCTACAGAAACACTGATCAATCTGCGTACACGTCTCGTTTTGCGCCTCGAACGTATTATGTCCGGCGTATATATATATATATATAAAAAAAAAAAAATGAAGGCTAGAATATTCGTTAGTCGAGGTGTTTATTAATAATATTATCTCTGGCGCAGAAACTAAGAGTCTAAGAATGTTGAAAAGTAATGTTCCTGTGAATGAGTCTCCTTTCGTGATACGAACCAAAGTGACTCCGTTTTAAATGCATTAAAAAAGAAAATGGAAGGTGACTGTGAGAAGAAAAACAAGAGGGAAATAAGTATAAACGAATGAAATTCACATATTGTCTTTGTAATTAGTTGCTTTTATTTCGAACATATTTTATCGTACGATAAAGATATCTTCTTTTTTTTTATCCACTTCTATCGACGATTAGTGAAGCTCTACCTCGTGACACGTGTCGACCATTTTTTTTTTTCTCTTCATGATTTCTCGCAATGAATTTTAACACGTTGACTGCGGTGAATGTAACTCCGGCAATACTGATAATTCGAAGTAGTAAACCGAAGTATTAGATAAAAAAAAATGAATTCTGAATCAGTTGTGTTATCGTGAATCGCCATACTATGCATGGGTAGCCCAGTCAACGCGTTAAGCAATCTCTGCAACGTGTAATCGTCGAATGAAATCGCCCGCTGTTACTCGATCGATTCGAAAGGTAATTATTTGAAAAATTTATATAAAATATGGCACAATTCGTAGTACACCCTTCTGCAATGAAGGTGTTTTTTTGATAAGAGTTGAGGAGAGCCATCTCCTTTTATCGAAGGAAGATATCATTGTTCGCCGGTGTATCTTCGCAATTTGCCACGCCTTGTATAATCAGTATTACAAAGATTCGAGCCTCGGTCAGCTTGCATCGTTAGCAATAATTAAAAAAACATTTTGAAACTTCGAACGCGGTGGGTTCACTAAATTTCTCTTGCTTGTTTTTTCAGTTTGCCTATCGATCCCTTCCTGTAACTTCTTGTAAATAATGTATATTGGAACTTGGTCGAATCACTATCTTTTTGAACTTGTTCATCGTATAATTCCGATGAGTTTTCAGCGGCGCGAGTTAATGTTATTAAACGTAAACTCTTATCTTCCTGTACAGATAAAAATCGATGTAAGAGAAAAGAGAGCACGAAACGAAAGGAATGAAAGAAGGAAAATGGGGAGAAAGAAAAGAAAAAGAAGGAGACATTTAGGAAGATGCATCTGTGCGTAGATGTACATTTTTGAAGGAGCGTCGCACCAAAATAATACGTATTTTTTGATGGAATGAAAATGATAACGTTACACGTAGCTTGTACAAGTTAGAGCAAAAAACGAGAGTAAAAGAGAGAGCGTGTATGTGTGTATGAATGACGAAAGAAAGATAGGGTTTTGGAGGTAGAGAGAGAGAGTGAGAGAGAATTTGATTGTCAGTGATAGCCTGGCCTTTTTCGCCACCTTTAGTCGTACCAACCGCATTTATAATAGAGGGGTAACTGTAGTCTTCGTAAAAAAAAAAAAAAGAAAAAAGAATTTATGAATGGACTTAATTAAGAAAGAACGATGAAAACCTAAATGAAAAACTTAAGAATAAAGTTTTCCAAAGCCGAGAGAACTATTCAGGTACTTAAAGACAGTGAAAGGTAGAAGCGAAAGGAAATATTAAATAATCCCTGAAGGTAGGAAAAGAGAGGCAGTCGATGAAAATGTAAAGAAAAAATATGAAACAAAACCGCTTTACACTGGCCGTTAAGCAAGCGATTAAAACTTAAGAGATTTTGTATTGTATGTTTGTTAAGACTACTGTTTTTTCTGACTCCAAAAAAACACCCCTTACTACTACCAGTATTCGAAAGGACAATTGTGCTGCGTCGCTTTGATATCTGTAAACGAGAAACACGTGGAGAAATAAAATAATGTAGGGATGAAAAATATAAAATTATGAAAAAACTACAAATAAGGGAATGTAAAGGAAAAAAAGAAATGATTCTAGAGCATAGAAGAGTAGAGGAGAACGTGAGAGAGGGAGAGAATGAGAGAGAAAGAGGTAAAAAGAATAATACGTAAAAAAGAAAAAAAAAATAATACGAAACGGCCGTGCACTGCAAAACGTACATTGATTAAGATACGTATTGTCGTTTAGCACAAATCAAATAAACGATAAAAGAGAGACCGATAAACAAGAAACGAGAGTAGCCAGATAAACCGAGGACGGAGTTGTTTAAGAAAAAGAAAAATGGAAAAAATAATAGTCATCGGAGTACAGTCATGTCCGAAGAAAAGGATTAAAAAGAAAAAGAAAAGAAAAGAAATGAAGTAAATACGAAGGATCTACTTCTCTGTACATACGTTTAAATGAATCGGTGAAGAAAAAACACGAATGAAGGGAACATTTCTTTTCTAAACATTATACATATGTACTGTAATTATTAACGAACAAACAGAAAAAAATAATAATAAACATTAATAATACATATTTTCGAGATACACGATCAGTCTGAAGATGTTTCTTCGATGATGGCTGCGATTCTATTCCAACGCATCGTATATCTGACTTAGAATCGATGTTTACATGTGAATACACCATACACCGGCAATTTATATGTAAATATTTGACGAGCGTTAAGTGAAGTAAAATGGAAAAAGAGTAAAAAATGAAAAATAGCATGCATACAAACTATGGAAACTTCTAGTAGTTGTCTCCGTGTGATACGTACTATTATTATTTTGTTGTGACTTCGATAAGTGTTGAAGGCCTCGTTATTTTCCCCGCATTCTGGCAACGTATATCTCTCTTGGCTAAAATCTATTCTAATCTAAACTGTTGAAACTGTGCTAGTAGTAATCTGGTGTATGGAACCAGTTTACAGTATCTAACGATCACTTCCGGTTCGATGGATTCCATTTGGTTCATCAAATACAGAAGTTCTTCGTTCGTAGTATACACAGTATTCTCTTGGAAAATATCAGCTGTTGTTAAATAAACCAAATGAGGCATATAAATAGGAAAACTTAAAATTTTTTTGTTTATCTTAATAATTTTTAATATACGAATTACTCTCGTTCTCGTTTAGGACCCATTTGAAGACGACTTGCAAACTCGGATCAGATAACATTGAACAATTTCTGAAACGTATACTTTCTGGTCTGGAGTTAGCGATATTTTCTGGGAGAATATTATACATCTCTTTGCGACTGAATACTAAATTATTGATGCTTCTTTGTATATTCCTGTTCTTAGGTACCCTCGCTTTCGAATGCAATTGAATTTTGTACGATTGAAACGCGAGTCGTAAAGAGTCAAAAATCGCTGTTTTGATTTGCGAGTATGTCGATTATTCGAGGATCAAATAATCGTACGTCGAATGCGGAAATTTTTAATTCAAATTTCGAGTGACCTTTTTTTCGATATTTTAATGCTAGAACTATCAAAACAGTCGAAATGATTGATTTATAATTTTATTAGAAAAATTATTCGAATTTAAGTGAATTTAATTTAGACTTTTATTTCTTTATTAAAGATACTTACGTAGGTATATACGTTAATCGTCGATAGTTCTAGCGTTAATCTATCCGTGCAACTTTGTTTCTTTTTTTATTTAAATATCGCATCTTACATAATTGAACACTCTCGACTGTTGTGTAGACGAGTTCTTGGTTCTCTTATAAATATCATGATCTTCGAATTCTTATCAGTAATTGGATGCATGAATCAGTACACTGATAATCCTGAGGTATATCGTGGAAGAATGAGATTCCCAAGAAAAGAAAAAAAATGAAAAGGTCAGAGTTATTAAAAGCTATCATTAACTAGTTTTCATATTTGAAAATCTATCACGAAAAAAACAAAATCAGGAATGTTAATAGGAAGCAACTAATGTTGTAATCGCTTGATCTCGTTAACTTTTGTCAGGTACATAAAAGAAGAAAAAAAAAGACGAAAAAAAAAAGAATACTCCGTGGATATGACTGTACAGCGCATTAATTTGTCCGGAGGTACATATATCGAGAATCCTTTTTCAAATTGAGGTATTAAGGATTGCATATTGTACATAAACAAGACATATTTTCTATATAAGGGACGTCGCTCGGTAAAGCCGATGGCTCGAAAAATATTGCAATATTACGATAATTCTTTTAAGCGGTAGGATAGCCTTTAATCGTTTTATGTAATGTAATGATAGAAGAGGGTCTGGCAGAATAAAAGTGAAAGTTCTGTATTTAAAAATGTTCCCAAGGTGTACATTTCTTTATTTATTGTTCACTGGATTAACTTTTTTTTGTGAACTTGAGACTAATTCAAAACGTAACATCTTTTCTTTTTTACAAAACCGTTTTCTTTAATAAAACATAAATAACAATAATAAATTAAAATATCAAATAGTCGTTACATACGTACAATCCTTTTTCTAAATACACATCAGGTTTTGCTTTCAGATTCTTTCTGTTGACTTGCTACTTCCTTAAATAGAAAAAAGAAGTTAAATAGATATAACAATTACGTGCTATTGAAATCTAAGGAAAAATTATATACTTACTTGTTGAATAATGTCTAATAACGAGGAACTTTCATTAGAGGTAAAAAATTCATTTACTTCTTGTGGAACACAAATATGATTTGGAGCTTTTGGTTGAATACCAATTTCCTCGCCTATAAACCTGAATTCTGGTATATGCTTTATTTCATTTTGTATTTCTTCATAAGTAAAAAGAGTTCCTTTGGTAGCAGACTCATCCAAAGGACCAAAATCGATTATTTTTACCTTTTCTTTTTTAAAACGAATAACATCAAACGAATCTGTAATGAAACATTTGATGCATTAGATAATATATTATAACGGAAGAATGCTCTTTTAATTACTTACAGTGATTCAGTGGAAATCTGTCTTTAATACGTTCCATAAATAGACTCTTGATATCTGTCTGAATATTAAATTTTTCTGAATCATTGTAGCTATGGTATTGTGATATATCTCGTTGACTGATCGCTATGCGAAATTAAGGTACTAGTTTAGTTGAATTAATTACAAGGACACATATAATGTAGCAAATAACAATAAGGTAACTACAAAGAACTTGTTACCTGTAAGTTCATTGTTTACAACAAAACATCGAAATTCTGTACAAGGATTAATATCTCGCCATTGTTTCAATATTATACACGGTGTCAACGAATTTTCATTATTTGTGTAATTTTTAACATTGCTTAAATCTTTTGCAATTCTGTCTGAACTTTTCAATAGCAAATATACTTCCTCCAATGTTTTGCATTTAAGAGTTTTGGTTGGTGCAACCCAAGTTGCATCCTGAAAATAGATATTAATAAAATAGTTAAATACTTTATCAGTAAAATCGAAACCAACAAAGCATACGTACCAAAGGTGAACTCCAATTACTCTTAATGAAAACTGCATCATATTCATCTATGACATCTTGGATCTTTTTACTAAATTGTGGGAATGTTGGTTGAAAATCAAGTGACTGCTACAAAAGATAATAATCTAAAATTAATATATGCATAATAATATTTTGAAATTAATGTTTACACACATATTAAAGTTACCTCTTCGTTTATCACTGGAGAACCATCTAACCACTCAGGGTTTTGCAAGCCAGAATTTGTAGCTTCTATAGGTAATATAAATGCATCATGCTCCAAGTATTTAAGTACTTCTTCAGGAATATCAAGAATGGTAGCATTTAAAGAATCTTTACGAAATTGAGGATACCATGATGCAAAGGAACATTCAGGTTTCAGATTATTCACCATGATGATTAATAACTATTATAAAGTAAATCAAATTTTTTGTTCTCTACGGATTAAATGTATGAATAACAAATCCTGCAACATAAAATATTGGTCGAGTCAATTAAAATTAAAGCAATACCACAAATAGATATTTACTTATGTGAATCTTTTAAATGGAATCACCGTACATACCAGCGTCACAAGAGAATGGTATAAAATGGCAACTGTAGAGAAATGACCCGTACTTATTTCATCAGTTGTGTTTTTTTGTTTTACAAAGAAATATATATCGTAGTGTTCGAACAATGCAAAAGTTTCTCTTTATTAAGTATTTTTGTAAAAATTAATATACAAAACTACAGGTAGAATTATTACGATATAATATGAACGTATAACGTTAACAAATAACCTAATGATAACTCCTATGGAGTTTATAACATAAAATGGTTTGAAAATGACAAAAAGTAACTCTTTACAAAATGTTTACTTAAATGAAATAAGTAAAATGTAAATAATACGTTGTTTTAAATAAATATGATGTATTAAATGTATTGATATTTGTAAACGTATGAGATACGTCTCGATTATATAAACATTCCAGTTCAAAATACGTGTAGTGGAAATTATCGTTATATTTCGCCAATAATATGGGTAAGGAAGTGAAAATTTTTAATATTTATAAATAAATGTATTACATTGTGCGATACTATAACCGAATTTCTGTTTTAAGTGATGGCAGGGAACGATAGCACTCCTGGATCTTTAGCAGAAGATTCATTGTCCACAAGATTACAATGGCTTCGTCAACGTCGAGAAGCACTACAAGAAAAATTAGCTCAAAAAAATAATGAACTTAAAAATCTATGCGTAGAGGAAGCGGAATTGACTGGTGTTTTACCACCAGAAATTCCATTAGAACCTGGAGAAAGCCCACCAGTATTTCGTAAAAGAGTTGGGACAGCATTTACATACCCACAGAATTTAATTAACAAGCTAAAAACAAATGAAGTTGTATGTTTTTAACAAATTAGTACTTATATAATGTTTAAAATTTGGGTACATGGAAATTTATTACATAAAATTTTTTATGTTCTTCTTTGTAGGAAGAATCTGCTCTGGAATTAGAACGACAAGTTCAAATTGGTATAGTGGAGGCTGCATTAGGAATTGTAAATGACCCTGCAGAAAGTAAAGCAGTTCGCCGTAAACATAGACTTGTTTATCAACAGAGTCAGCGTAGGCTTCAAGAATTGGAAGCTAGACTGAATTTTATAAGACAAAGTCGCAGTAAAGCGCATAATCCAACACAGTCCCAACATTCTAGCATTTCTACTACCCAATCACATTTGCATACCAATGTAAAGCATAGAACAAAGAAACCTCGTCCACCGCTAGACAGTACAGGTATAATAATCTTAACAATAAAACATTACTTTTATTTAATTTCATTTTAAATTACTCAAATTTTTTTTTATAGTAAATGATGTAAATATGAAAGTCACAAGAGGATTGCTTCAAGAGGGTGGTATAAGCTTAAGTCCATTGGGATCAGAGGATAAGTGTAACACATATCCTGGTCATGGGTATGATGATCAGTCACTGATACCTAATACATATAATCATACTCATAATCATAATCATATTAGTACGTATTGCACTGCGATTCCTGATCAAAGGCAGAATATTAAAATAATTGAACATGACCATAACGATAATCAAAATGTTTACATATTACCTGACCAATATCGTACGCGTACGTATTCACATGGAAGCGGTGGTTCGCGTAATCAAAATCATTATCAAGATAACGAACGAATATATCGTCCTGTACCAAATACATATACCGAGGACGAACGTCAATTACGATATCGCCAGTTTCAACAGCAACAATTACAAGATCAAATACATAATTATCAGCAATATTCCGACTATAAACACTTGGACAATGATGTTCAGCGAAGATCGAGTCAAGAATATTATGAAAGAGATTTTCGTACATTACATTATACGCATCTACCAGAATTTCCAGTATATCATAAAAATAATTCTCAAATGCAACCTTTACTTAGACGAGATCGTGATTCTAGTGGAAATAAGAATGTACGATATGTGGATTCACCTAGTGAGCCACAAATACCCTCAGGTTATTGGATGCGATGTGACGACGAAATTGTTTGGTGTCCGGACGATCAATCTGCTTCAGATAGATTCGGTAGCTTGGATCGAAGGAAACGTAATGCTGTACAACATACTGGTAGTATTGGAACCGACATGCAACCTCGATATCGTACAGTAGCTGTAGGATGCACTAAAAACTCTCCTTATATCGCGCCTCATCAAAATGCCTCTGTTCATTTGCTTCCGCTGTCGGAGCAACCATCAACGAACAAGATGTTACTTCGTACGCAATCATTGGGGAGCGTAGAGAAATGGCACTCAAACCATTTACACGAATTGCATGATGGTAAGGATACAACAGATAATGTTAGTCGCAAAGGAAGAGAAAAAGAATGGTATGAAACTTGTTTGGATTCACGTACAAGTCCAGGATTAGATACTAATTTAATATCGTCACATAAAAGCATGCACTACCAATCTACTCTTCCCGTATGCTCTAAAGCGCCTTTGAGCAACAAATGCGACGATGGAAGAAGTAATTACCTAGCTGCGATGAATCATCGTAAAACTGATGTATTAATAACTGAAAATGAACAGCATTTACAACCATTGTCACCTCGTTACGAATCAACACGAAAGAAAGTACTTGAAATTCCAGCTGAATCAAAGCCGCTACAAGAAACAAGCGAAGATACGATAATATTGGGATCAGCTCAGAACTGTACAATTGTCCAAGCTGGGAAATATCAACCATACAGAGAAGTTACAAAACCTTTTGAAATGTCTGACTTTTATAAATATTCTACTAAATTTCGCAAAAGGAACGAAATGAACGGACAAAGTGCTTCAAATGAAATTCAAGATGATTCTCGAGAAACAAATGATGCAGAACCTGATACTTCAAATACCATACATAATGGATCAGTTGCTGGTTCAGTACAAAAAAGAATCTATCAACCAGTTCAACGAATGACATGCCAGCCTTATCTTGCATCATTGAGATAATTTTTTGTTCGCATATAGATTATGATAAATTTAAACAAATAAGGTAAACCAGGTCAGATAGGCTGGACCTGTCTAGAAAAATATTTCTAATCTACTTTTAATTTGTAACAGACTGAGATATGATATACTAATAGAATCAATTTCTATTATAGCAACAGATGTGGTCAACAGAATTTCATGACATTGTAATGCAATTTTTTTATTTTTTTATTTCTTGGTCCAGTTGAAAAGTAATTAATTCAGTACTGCTAAATAGTCGCAGTATTGTTAAAAAAACGTATAATTGTATACACGTTAAGTAAGATGTTACATCTTATAGAAAATTTAATTGAGTGGCAGTTAAACGTAGCTTAAATATTAATTCAGTGTTGAAGTTTAACTAGTGCCTTATTTTGATTCAAAATTATTACTAAAGTTATACAAAATTGTTTACAAACTAAACGTATATGTACGTTGAATTTATAAATAACGAATTATTAGAACGATGGCGTTGTGAACGCAAAACTAACTTAAAACTTTTTTGTTATTTTAAAACTAAGCTGAATATATGATATACATATAGTCGCAATCTGATAAAAAATGTACCAAAATGCTTTGATTCGTAACATAGAGAATTAATATTTTTATAACTGATTTTATAGAATATTTACATAGAAAATAAAGTAAAGAATTAAAAGCACATTTAAAGTAAAAGAATAAAGTTGCTGAAGTATGAAGCACTGAGAAATAAAAAGTACACCCATAGATTAGGTACTAATAATAAGAATAGTTCTTTGGATCATATATTTTAATATATTATATATTCATGGAAATAGTTTTTTACTATTTTGCATCATCTAAAATAGATGGTAAGAAAACGCTAAATTTCATTAATTTGAACATTTCCGACTTTAAGCGCCAAAGATTCGAATGATGTTTCATGATGCTTTGGTTAAAAATGTTTTGTATTTATTTAAATAGAATTTATACGTGTTTCGAACAGTATAATGAAATTTATATTCAGTTCAATGATATGTTCATGAATGTACTGTGCACCGATGACAAGATGTCCTATGAGATGCACGCATTTGCATTTGTCTCATGGGACATCTTGTCATCGGTGCACTATACATTCATCTTAATTTTACTAATTTTACTTTAAGCTGAACATTTATTTCGATTAAAATTTATTTTCCAGAACTAGAAGTAATGCATATTAAAGTTAATGATTAATTTATACCAACGATATGAACTCATAACAAAAATAAATGATTCACGCTTTAGTTAATATCTATCATCCATTAGGTATGTTTTTTTATAACGTTACAATGTAAAACGTTAAAGCTAAATAAAAGTTCGATTTAATTTATCGAGTAATACATTCTTCATATTATTTAATCTTATCTTTGTCGCTATATTAATGTTTCTATTACGTTTTGAGAAACTAATAAAAAAAAATCAGATTCAAAAAAATTAATTTTTATGCTATTATGGACTTGTAACAAACACTCCTATTGTCCTTATCGGTAGCACCTAATGTTTCGAATTAAATTTTTAGTTTACATGAAACTTTTTAAAACTATGGTTTATGTAATGTATACAGGGTATTCAACTACGGGTGCGCATCCTTTGAGATGGTGACAGCTGGGGTGATTCTGAACAACATTTTCTTTTAGTAAAGGAAAGAAAACGTTGTTCAGAATCATCTCACCTGCCATCCCCTTAAAGGATGCTTATCCGTAGCCGAACACCCTGTATATTTTGGTAAACTATATATTAGCAAATATTTTTTCATATATTGTTTTATGAATTGTAAAGATCCATTACATCCTACCAATAAACATTTAAAACAATGACATGTACATTCAACAATTAACAAACATATAAAACTTTTTGTATATATTTACCTTCAAGTTTTCACAAAAATTAAACATAAAACATCATATCAACTGAGGGGCAGATTAAAATTTGAAAACATATTTGTAAAGTAGATGAGACGAAAGGTGTATTGTTGTCCACAGTTTACATAACAATATTTAATATAAAAAATAAAAACAGTAAATATTATATAACATGGAAATTAAATTTTGAATTATAGTAATTGTAGTCTTACTTAACAACATTTATCAATATGGTAGGAAGTAATGGTTAAAAATCAATTACGTCTAAAATGGGTATTATATATCTACTATTGATCAAGCAATTTCATCTTAAAAATTTATATCTAATGCAATCACTCACAAATCATATAAAAATTCTAATTTTATATAGTCGTATAGTGCAATTGCAAGTATGTATATGTTATTTGTTTCAACAACAAACTATTTCAGTTTCTATTTTACAACTGCACTTTACAAAATAAATTAATATTGGACTTATAGTCAGATCCATTGGCACTCTATACCTATTTCATTATATGTATGGTGCTAAATAAAAATACGCTTTTAAATTCACAATATCTAACGTATAGTATTATTGTTATCCTTATTGTTAACGCATGAACATAATAATTCTTTCCGGAACGTTTACCAATTGACAAAATTTCAGAAAAAGATAAGTATATAATATAAATTTCATTATTTCTTTATTTCATAACACATTAAGAATGTATAACGTTACTCCAATGTTAAAAGATACTTTGTAACAAATTAATAATTATCTGCATAAAAAGTATTCGCCCAATAAGAAATAATGTTTAAAATATTTTTATAAACAGCGTTAACAATAACAATAAAAGTTTAATCATAATGATGTTTTATAAAATTAACAGCACAGACATTGTACAAGAAATATAAACAATCTGTACACCATACTGTGGAAGGATTATCTATTAAAATATCAAACAACAAAATTATACTGTTCATTAAAAGCAACACTGAGAAAATTTTAATAAAAATGCATAACTTATAACTATGAATAATAGTAAGTGGAATTTATAAATACAAAACATTTCGAAACGATTTAAGAATGTAATGCTCATTCAGAGTAATGTCTTAAACAACTTGGAAAACTGTTTCTGCAAAATGATTTACTCAATCAAAACAAAGTTGATGTATTCCCTGACCTTTATTTCTGTTGAAAAAACTCTGATTACTTTCATTTTTCAATAAATTATTGTGGAACACACATTCATCGTGTTTATAGAACCGAACAGTTCAGTTTGAAAACGTGATATAGTCTCCAAATTTAATGAATCATAAAGATAAAATAATAAAATTTTCAAATACCTTTGAATTCATATATCATTTAGAAAATAACTTTTATTTGCGTTCTTTTAATCTGGATTCAATTTGTGCATATTTGCCAAAAATCGTTTCCTCTTATTATATTTTTAATAGTATACACATTCAACCGAATTTTCATATTATCACACAGACACGCACTTACTATACGGTACATTCGATTTGCGCAATTTATCACGGATATCTTAAAACTATTAATTAAAGACTAACACTATACAACTTAATAATTTAAAGAAATTTGTTAGATGTTCACAGTATTATATAACAGGAGGTAGGACAATTAATTGTATCTTATGAACAATCAAATATGTATAACATACCAATCATCATAAACAACAAATGATTTGCATTTTTTTTCATTACTTCTTGTAACACAATTCAATTTTTTGTTTCTGATAAAAGTTTTATTTCCTAGGTCGAGTAAGAAATAAATGTAATAAAACTTGATAATGGTTTTCTACATGTAGAATAAGTACAGAACTGAAATTAAAATTACTTTAAAAATATTTATAAAAGAAAATAGTAAGTTAATATCTTTTTTACTTTATTCATTGACTTCTTCATCAAGCGTTAAGTTTCAAGCCAAGAATTGAAAAAGTTGATGATAATAATAATAATAATAATAATAATAATAATATTTACGAAATTAATGACGCTTAAAATATTAAGAGATAATAGTACACCTACTTTATTTAATAAAGAAGTAAAGCAAATTTATTTTCAGAACGTACGAACTAACTATCATTGTGTACTACATTAACTATTTATTTTCCAATAAAAAAAATTATTAACCCAATGATTAGGTAACACTAGGAACAAAATTTCGTATATTTATGCCAACAAGGTAGTACTATAAATATATTGATTTATATTCTATTAACTGAATTAATTTGGTGTGCTGATAATTTGATGTGTATATCTTTTATGAATGAGTATTAGTTGTTGCAGCAGTATTGAGTAAAATATATCAAAATAAGCCATTATAAAGTGACAATATGATATTAAAAAACTTGTCATCATACACGTGACTCTAACCTCCTTGTTATCATTACTGTTACTGTAATTACCATTTTAATGTCATTTACATATTTCTCATGTAAATAACATCAAACTAAGCACACAAGTATTTTATTAATTTAACCCAGACATTTTTAAATTGTAATCATTTACAAAATTGATAAACTACTTGACTATTCAGCCACTGAAACCACTTATATGTGGCGAATGGGATAGATAATACAGTTAACAGCAATAGCAGCAAACATGATCGAATTTATATAATAATTATCCACACTAAACTTCATATTCAGACCATTCTGACTCCTCTGAATCTGATGAAAAGGGAATAATATCTTCAAAATCTACACTGTATACCCAGCGACTGTCTCTCTCTTCAAAAAAGTCCCACAAGATTAATTGCTGTAAAAAATTATTTGTTGTTTTTGTAAATCTATAGGAAAGATACAATGTTTACAATAAAAGGTAGAAAGCCACAAAAACACTGTAATGAATTAAGTTAGGTTTAGTTCAATTTTAAACTTACATGTAAAATATCGATGTTTGCATCGGCATTGCGTCGTTGACGAACAGGTGGACCAACGTCTGTTTTAGTGCCATCGGGAAGTGCATGGAGATAAAAGCACTTATTGCCAAATGGACATTTACCACGTCCTTTATTGAAATACTTACAATCTTTGGTGCTGTAATAAATAAGTGGATATAACGTCATCGTACATTATTATTATTATTATTATTATATACATTTCTTCCTACCTCAGTGCACATTTGTAATCCGTTATTAATTTTTCTTTTTCTTCTTTTGTATCTACCCAGTACATACTTGGACATACAAAGTCAGAGGTGACGCGACATTCTGGACAGGCTCTTATAATTTTATTGTCAAATTGTTTAGCTTGTCTCCATTTTCTAATACAACTTAAACAAAAGCAATGATTACAATTTGGTAAAATTCCGAATCTCTGTTCTCCAGATGTCTTTTCCATTATAATTTCAAAGCAAACTCCACAAGACTTGTCTTTGCTACGCTGAATAGCAAAGGAGAGCTCCATATCTACCTCGTGCTGTTTAACACATGCCTAAAAAGTAAATTTAAATCATAAATTCAAATCTTTGTTTGCAACAACATGACAAAGTAACGCAATGCGTTTAATTACATTTGTATGTTTCTTTCTAAGTTCTTCATTATTTGGATGAAGTGCAGCTCGATTGCACAGTTCACAAATATCACCATGTAAGTAGGTACAATTACGTTTCCTACAAATTCCAGTTGCTTCTGCATAGGGACATAGAGGTTCTAAAGATGGACTGGATGCCTGACCAGATGGATTTACAGCTTGAGCATAAGATAATGGCAGTGAAGAACTTGCTGATGTTTCTAAAGTATCAGAATTTTCATTTGCTGAGGATGAACCAGCTACAGATGAAGGCACAAATTCTGGGGCTTTTACCCATTCTTCAGCTGCATGAGCACTTTCTTTACTAGAAATGCATAAATACATTTTAATATGTTATATTTTCTATCATCATAATGATTATGTATATAAATATGTATATATATCGCATATTTTTATATACCATATTACAATGTATTATGTGATATGCAAATGGTATTACGACTTAAATCTTGCTGTATTATAATGTCATCTAACGACAACATACACATTCTTTATTGTTGTCGAAGTTGAAGTATTTGAAGTCTGTTGCCCAGGTGAAGAACTTTCTATTGAATTTGCATTCACCAAATTATTATCAATAGTTTCAGGATTATGACGAAAATGGCACTGATTCCCAAATTTACAAACGCCATGTTTAAAAAAGCGACAAACACTGCTAAAAGGTGGGACAGAAGAAATTACTGTTTCATTGGTACTTCCATCGTTCCCAATTTCTTGAGTATGACGATATCTGCAATTATTCCCTTCACGGCATATACCATTTTTGAAATAGCTATAATAAAAGAAAAGAATACAATTTAATAAAAAAAGGGGAAAGTATAAGCAGCTTGGAAAATATCAATATTTACATAGTTCAATTTG